GCGGGCGGAGGCGCGGCTTATATCTATCAGGTAGGACGGTCAGGAGCTCAGTTGGGGGCGCCCGACTGAGCGGCCCGTACACCGGGGGCACCCGTCTTCCGTACGGCGGAAAGGGTCGGGGGCGCCCGACCCAGAGGGTGGAGAGGGCAGGTAATGCCAACCGGGGGCACCCAGCTGGGGAGGCCCGTACCCTGGGGGCACCCAGGTGAGAACGGGGGCACCCGTTCCCTGTACGGAGGACGAGGTTGGGGGCACCCAACCTAGAGAAGCGGTCTCGGAGAGTGGTCGTGTCGGAAGCAGGAGTCGGACAGGACTGGTCCTCGAGTCGGCTCGAGTCCCCTATTTATACCCCGAGTGAGGGCGGTGGGGGCTGCCCCACCGCTCGGTCTGTCCCACCGCTCGGGCTATCCCACCACTCGGGCGCAGGAGTGCCCGTTGAAATAGGCGCTAGGTGGCCGTCAGGGCCGTAGCGCTAGTGACGAATACGCGTATCGTCACATCACCCCCCCGTTTGGAGAGGAAATATACAGGTATATTTACACAGGTATCGGTCTATATGCTGCTTTATTCTATACGCTTTCTACAGTTTAAACTAGCGGCGCTGGCACGACGTTAGGACGCCGCGTGGGTCGAACCGCAGGACCCATCGGTCGCTACCGACCCGAGCGCGGTATTTGCGGTTCCGGACCATGGCGGAGCGTGGTACCGCGACTCTCTCCCCGGTGGGTAGCGGGATCCAGATACGGTCGTCCAGGGGGGAGGTGGCCGATATTTGGGCCAGCGGGGTGGACCGGGGGGGCCAGGGGCCTGAGGGTGGTCGGGCCGTGGTCAAGGAGGGGCGACCCGGCGTGGCGGCGGCGCAGGCTGGCGTGTCGACTCTCGTCCTATTGATCCCTCGTGCGGCGGCAGGGTGCGGAAGCAGGGGAGGGACTGGAGGCGTCGGGGCCGTTGCTCGAGGAGCTTGGTGGCGGGTGAGGGCTGGTGACGGTCCGTCTGGGGGCCGGTGGACGTCTCGCGGCGGCTCTCCCGGACGTTGAGAATCCTTGGTCGCCGGGGCCGTTGCTCGTGGTGCCGGGCGGTTAGCTGTGCCCGGAGACAGTCCGGCCGGGGGTCGTTCGGTGTCCCGTGGACGTTCGGCCGGTCGTAGATTTACCCTCACACGGGACGTCGGTGGGCGCCGGGTCGGGCGTAGTGGCACCGGCTCGATGAGCATGGCGGCACGGCGGCGGTTCTCGGTGTCGCCCCGTTGGATCCGGGTTCCCACCCTAGAGGCCTGGCGGCGCGGGACGTCTCCTGGGCCAGTAGTCGGCCCGGTCGCAAGTGGTTCCTCCCATAGGTCGTCGATGTCGCTAATATCTCCAAACAGCTCTTCCAGCAAGCTCTTTGCTCGTTGATCCATGTTGACGGACTTTCGATACTAGAGCGACTGGAAACTTGTGCGCCTCGTGGGCTTATATACCGGTAGCGGGCGTATTCTTTTCGTTCCTTTTGCGAGTTTTTCCGGCTTATGAATGCGGACGTCATTTTCCCCGAAACGGTCCGGGCGCGGTTCTCGTGACTTTATGTTTGTAAACACGCGGCGCTTTCGCCTTCGCTATCGTAATCCCGATTCTGACAAGAGCTCTCCGTGAGGTTCCGACGCGTTCTTTAAATCTTGGACGTGCACATGTCGGTGCCATCGTCCCCGGGGGTCGCGTAAGTCGACTATAACGGGCGAGATGATTTTTCTGACCTCGAGGGGTCCGGTGTAGCGGGGGGCCAACTTGAGAGTGGATACTCCCTCTTCCAAACGAGGTCCCCGACGCGGGGTCTCCAATCCCGCCGCCGCAGGTTGTAGTGGGCCTCCTGTCATTGAAACGCTCGGGCCATGTTGACCCGTACTACCTCGTAGGCTTCCTCTAGCCGGCGCCGAGTCTGGTGCGGGGCCGGGTATGCCGCATGGCGACGGTCCTCCGGGTGTGGGAGAGCGAGCTCCCGGCCGTGATTGAGATACGCCGATGTGTACCCGGTGGCTTCGTGTCGGGCGGTGTTGTAGGCGAATTGCAGCGGGGCTAGATGCTCGTCCCAACGCCGGTAGTTTTTGCCGACATATTGGGAGACCATGGTCTTCAGTGTCCGATTAGTACGCTCGACCGGGTTGCAGTGAGGTGCTTTTACGGGGGTGGTTCGATGCTCGATCCGGAAGGCCCGCAGGACTCCCTCGAGTTGTTCCGACTTCAGCTGGGTCCCGTTATCGGAGATGATCTGGTCGGGGCACCCGTGCTGGTAGATGATCCGGTCGAGGATTGCCTTGGTAACGGCAGGTGCGGTAGCTCTACGAAGGGGCTTAAGCTCGACCCACTTTGTAAACCGGTCCTGCATGACTAGCAGCCAGGCGTGGCCCTGGGTGAATCGCGGCAACGGGCCGATCAAGTCCAGGGTCACCTGTTGCCAGGGCCGGGTGACAGGTGCCGTGTGGAGGTTTCCGGCTGGTTTGGTCGTCGGTGCCTTGTGCGCCAGGCAAGTCGGGCACTGTCGGACGTAGCGGGTGATGTCCTGGAACATCCCTGGCCAATAGAACAGACGGGCCATGCGGGCGATGGTCTTGGCGACCCCGAAGTGTCCCGCCGTGGGATCCTCATGGTGTCTCCGCATGATCGTTGCCCGTTCCTCCTTCGGGATGCAGCGCTTCCATTGGTCCGCCGGGTCAACCTCCCGAAAATCCACCTCGTGCAAGATGTGGCGAAACAGCCGTCCGTCCTGGATGCGGTAATCTGGGAATTTAGTGGGGCGTTGCCTTGCTCCGGTCAGAATTCGCTGGTACCATTGGCACTTCGGGGTGGCCTGAGCTTCGCATACCTCCGGTTGCCGTGAGAGTGCGTTGGCGACCTTGTTGAGGCTGCCCTTTCGGTAGCGTACGTCGAAATCGTACTGCTGCAGTTCAAATAGCCACTGGCCCAACCGGCCGGTGGGTTCCTCCAGGCGTTGCAGCCACCGGAGGGACTGATGGTCGGTCACCACGGTGAAGAAGTACCCCTCTAGGTACCCCGCATCTTCTGGATGCCCCATACGATCGCAAGGCATTCTAGCTCGGTGGCGCTATAGTTCTTCTCCGCGCCGTTGAGCGTTCGGCTTGCATACGCCACTACTCGCTCTCCGTCCTCCTGGTGCTGGGTTAGCACGGCTCCCAGTCCGTATGCGCTGGCGTCCGTCTGGAGCACGAGCCGGCGATCGAAGTCCGGGCAGGCCAGTACGGGGGCGGAGGTCAGTGCCTCCTTCAGTCGCTCGAAGGCGCTCTCTTCGTCTGGCCCCCAGGTCCACTTTACTCCCTTCCTTGTCAGGCGGGTGAGCGGGGCGGCTACCGTCAAGAAATTTGCGACGAATCGCCGGTACCAGGAGGCCATGCCCAAGAATTGTCGTACCTTGCGTATGGTGGTCGGCGCTGGCCATCGTGCCACGGCGCTCACCTTATCCGGGTCGGTGCGGAGGCCATAGCGGTCCACGATGTGGCCCAAGTAGCGGAGTTGGTCCCGGCAAAAATGGCACTTTTCCGGATTCAGGCGGAGTCTCGCTTCGCGGAGGCGGCGAAACACTTCGCTCAGTAACCGGAGGTGTTCTTCAAAGGTGCGGCTGACTACGATAATGTCGTCCAGGTAGACGAGGACATGTGGTGCTAGGTCCGGCCCCAATATTTCGTCAAGTAGTCTTTGGAAGGTAGCTGGTGCGGAGTGTAGGCCGAAGGGCATTACCCGGAATTGCATGAGGCCTTTTCCTGGGACCGTAAAGGCGGTGACTGGCCGACTATCGGGCGCTAACGGTATCTGCCAGTACCCATTCTTCAGGTCCAGCGTCGATAGGTATCGGGCTCCCCGCAGTTTATCCAAAGTGGCCTGCACTTGTGGCAGGGGGTATGCGTCCTTTTCCGTGACTTTGTTTACTTGCCGGAAGTCAATACAGAACCGATACGACCCGTCTTTCTTCCGGACCAACACGATAGGCGAGCTCCATGCTCCGTGGGAAAGCTCGATCACGCCCTCGCGTTCCATCTTTTCCACCTCTCGGTCGATAACTGCCTGCATGGCTGGATTCCTGGGTCGGTATCGCTGTTTAATGGGCCGGTCGGTCTTAACCCGGATGCGGTGCGAGATCCGGTCGGTCGGGCCGCGGATATCTTCGAATAGGGCGAGTTCCGTGAGCAGAAATTCCTGAAGGCGGCGTTCCTCGTCAGGGGTCCGGGAGGCCAATCCCTGGGCTACGGCTCCGCATGCGGAGGTTCGTGTGGCGTTGCGTGATGCGGCGGCCCGTAGTACGATCCCCGTCCGGCCCACAGGTCGACGCCGATGAGTACGGCGCCCTGTAGCGATGGCATGATTAGGAAGTCGTGCCTGAGCACCTTCCGGCCAATCTTCACCGGGAGCGTCATGGTCCCGGGTATCGTGGTTGAACCTCCGTCCGCCAGGTGGACGGAGTTCGTCCCCTGTCGGATCGGGAATCCGAGGCTCTCTGCGTAGCGGGCGGTATCCGTATTGATGAAGGACACCTCGGAGCCGGTGTCAATTAACGCTCGCATAGCGCGGTGTCGTATGCGAACGGAGATATGCGGCCGCGGGTGGTAGGTTACTCGGACGGCGGCGGGGTCCGGGAGGCGGCGGCTTCGCCCCCGGCCCGTGCGGCGTTTCCCGGTGTCGGGTGACAGTCGCGGGTGAGGACACCGTCCTTGCCGCATCGTGAGCAGAACTTCTTGGCCGGCCGTTTACAGTCTAGCCGAGTGTGTCCGCGTTGTTTACATCGCCAGCAGCATTCCTCCCGGTTGTATGTGGTACTGGCGACGGCCGGGGTCGCGGCCGGAGCTTTTCGCTCGGCTTTCCGTTCGCGGTTTTGCTCTTCAATAGCTTCATATTCCGCGGCGCGTGCGTGCAGATCTCCCAGGCTGGTAATGTCATCCAGGCGGATGTAGTATTTATACCCGGGGCTCATATTATCATACAGCCGTTCGAGTTGGTCGTCCGCTGAATATCCTCCGGCTCGTCGCATGCTCGTAAGGAGCGCTGTTGCGTACTTGTGAAAGGGCTCTTCCGGTTTTTGAAACCGTCCCTGGATCTCTCGCGACAACTGTGCGCGGTACCGCCGGGGCAAGAACTGATTGCGGAAGTCTCTTTGAAAATCGTCCCAGGAATCCCACACCGCTCGGCTATTCCGGTACCAGAGGAGTGTGTCTCCTCGCAGTAGCTCCGGCAACCCTAACAGGAGCTGGTCTCCGGAGTATCCGTATCCCTGGCGTAATTCCTCCACTTGTTCTAGGAACGCGAGTGGGTCTTTTCCGTCGAAATGACATCCCCACTTCCGGATTTGATCCATGACCTTGGCCGGGTCGGGCGTAGTGGAGTCTATGCTCCGGCGCTCGTCGTCCATCGTAATTTTTCGGTCGTCTTCCCCTGCGGGGTATTCGTACTCCGGGTTAGCGATCACAAAATCACGGGGTCTGGCTCGGAGGGCGTCGAGTGTGCCGCTAGGGTCAATCCCTAGTTTCTCTAACTCGGCCGTTACCTCGGCCTTCGATAGCCGATTGATCCAGCTCGTCATGGGCTAGGCGGAGAAAACGAACCAGTGTCTCACGGATCAGGTCCCTGTTCGGGCGCCATGTAACGATCGCGTTTTCTCGCTCGGAGTTCGCTCGCCAAGCCAGGGTGAGAAAACGTGGAGACACTGGTTGGTTTTACTAAATAGTCTTTATTCTTACAAACTAAGTGATACAGAAATTATGGAGGACGTACGTGTAGGTGCGTGTGTGTGTGTATCGCTCCGTTGAGCCGCAGTGTACGTGTTAGGGTGATGCGGGGCAGACCCGCGGACGAGTAGACGAGTTCACAACTAGCCAAGACGGATTTGCGGGCGAACACGGAGGCCTGGTGGCCTTACGGATTTGCGGGCGGAGGCGCGGCTTATATCTATCAGGTAGGACGGTCAGGAGCTCAGTTGGGGGCGCCCGACTGAGCGGCCCGTACACCGGGGGCATCCGTCTTCCGTACGGCGGAAAGGGTCGGGGGCGCCCGACCCAGAGGGTGGAGAGGGCAGGTAATGCCAACCGGGGGCACCCAGCTGGGGAGGCCCGTACCCTGGGGGCACCCAGGTGAGAACGGGGGCACCCGTTCCCTGTACGGAGGACGAGGTTGGGGGCACTCAACCTAGAGAAGCGGTCTCGGAGAGTGGTCGTGTCGGAAGCAGGAGTCGGACAGGACTGGTGACTCGAGTCGGCTCGAGTCCCCTATTTATACCCCGAGTGAGGGCGGTGGGAGCTGCCCCACCGCTCGGTCTGTCCCACCGCTTGGGATATCCCACCACTCGGGCGCAGGAGTGCACGTTGAAATAGGCGCTAAGTGGCCGTTAGGGCCGTAGCGCTAGTGACGAATACGCGTATCGTCACATCCGGTTTCCAAAAAAATCGGTAACAAAAAATAATGCACTTTATAGCACTGCCCAGAAAATTCTACCTCTACTTCATATACAATTGTTTAAAATTCGGTCAATTAATTTCCGATAAATTGGAAAATTTTCTGATACCGATTTTCCCAAAGATCGGTAACGAAAAATTATATATTTTATGGCAATCTCCGGGAAATTCTACCCCTACTTCATATAATTTTTTAAGATTCGGTAAATTAATTTCCGAAAAATTGGAAAAATTTTGTAACCGGTTTCCAAAAAAATCGGTAACAAAAAATTATACACTTTATAGCACTCCCCGGAAAATTCTACCTCTGTTTCATATATAATTCTTTTAAACTCGGTCGATTATTTCCCGAAAAATTAGAAAAATTAGAAAAATCGGTTTCCAGAAAATTGGTAACAAAAAACTATACACTTTATGGCACTCCCCGGGAAATTCTACCTTTATTTCATATGTAATTCTTTAAGATTCAATTATTTCCCGAGAAATTAGAAAAATTTTGTAACCGGTTTTCAAAAAAATTGGTAACAAAAAATAATACACTTTATAGCACTCCCCAGAAAATTCTACCTCTACTTCATATACAATTGTTTAAAATTCGGTCAATTAATTTCCGAAAAATTGGAAAATTTTCTGATACCGATTTCCCCAAAGATCGGTGCCTCTCTCTCTCTCTCTCTCTCTCTCTCTCTCTCTCTCTCTCTCTCTCTCTTTCTCTCTCTCTCTCTCTCTCTC